CGTCACAGGCACGCGGGCGGAAGTGCGCCGCTGCCACCCCCGGAAGTGCGCGCGGGCTGCGGGGCCCGCGGAGGCTCGAGTCGTGCCGCTGTTAATTAACGGCCCCGCTCTCGCACCCACTGCCCCCACGGGCGAACGCTGCCACTGCACGCGACATCTCCTAGGACCGTCCTCGTAATTACGTACAAAAAGTCGGTTTATTCACGTGAACAAAGCATTCTAACCCTCCCTTACACAAGTCACGCAACAGGACTGCTACACCACGGCGGGGAACTGACAGGAATTCAGTGCGAGAAGGGCAATTCCTAACAAGGAAAATTAATTAGGACGACACCAAACTGAACACACACCCCTGGCCAGTGTGTTTAACCACAGCTAGAGGTTACAGCACGATCCACGACGGAAGGTCACGTCCAGCTCCTCCACTGTCCATCCATCATTTTAAAGTCATTTCGGAAACGTTAACCGCTGCAAATAACACATTTGCTAGTCCGTTCTTCAGCAAGGACTTGGATCAGCTGAGGAATTCACATTTTCAGGAAGATGTGCTCTTTCTACGAGAACGTAACTTGCCAAACGTAAAACAAAGGATCCAGACGGCTCTAGCTCACGGAGCTCGGCTCCATCAGCGCGCGAGTATCAAGGGTGAGGCTGCGAGAAACACCGGCGAAGCCTCCAAGCAGTTCAAGAACGGCATTTCCGGAAGAAATCAGGCGGTACTAGTTCCATCAGAAGGCAGATAGCTGGGTGTAATACTGCAGCGCATTCTTCACGTGGAAGAAAACGGTCCCCATTTACCCAACAGGAACAACAGCAAAGGAGAATCACGAGGACGACTGGAGGAAGAAAAGGTCTGTTAATCCACTTGTAAAGTGGAGAGCGAAGGGGTTGGTTTGTTTAATCTAATAAAGGCCAAGAAGACTGCACAGAAACGTACGCAAGATCAACGCTGTGAAAACAGCACATTCTTCACGTGGAAGAAAACGGTCCCCATTTACCCAACAGGAACAACAGCAAAGGAGAATCACGAGGACGACTGGAGGAAGAAAAGGTCTGTTAATCCACTTGTAAAGTGGAGAGCGAAGGGGTTGGTTTGTTTAATCTAATAAAGGCCAAGAAGACTGCACAGAAACGTACGCAAGATCAACGCTGTGAAAACAAACCCCTAGTAAAACAGGATTATCCTGCTGCCACAGAACAGGTGGGGCCAAAGCAGCCACTCAGAAGTTACAAGTTCCAAAATCCTCCCAGCTGTTTGGTTCACAAGGAGTTTTCCAGCAACAGGAAAGGCAAAAGCCTGCCAGCTTTTGAAATGAAGCTTAATCAATTGAAGGAGTTTACATAAGAACGGAGCGAGGCAACCAGAAAGCCACTTACATTTCTGTCTTCCACCAAGAGCAGAACTACGTTGCAAACCAGACTTCTGTTTTCCGCCAAACACAGAGATTTTTTGAAAGCGCAACTAAAAGACCCCCCAAACAGAAATCCCAACCAAAAGACCCACAGAGCTCCACCCCACAGTCCACAGCTTTTGTAAAAGCGATAGGAGTACAAAGAAAAAAAACCCCAGACATCAGATACATTGTGATGAAAATAAAAAAATGACATTTCCCTTCCGCTCAAATCTTCAGGGAATATGCCCCAGGCAACCAGTCACGTACAGGACCATAACCTGAAGTAAACATCAGTCACAACAAGCTCACGCTACTTAAACACAACACAGGCTTCTTCAGAGAGACTCTGATGGAACACTTCTTAGAAATTAATTTTACCGTAAAGACCACTTTATCCATGCTTATAATGCCATGCTACAATCTTTCAGAAGAGTGGCCATTATTAAAAATCAGATCATTTTAACTGTTAGTTTATTTTTGTTACCAAAAACTCCGTTTGAATGTTTTTGTAGCTATGTGTGCTTTTATGCCAAAACTAACTAATAGTTAAGATTATTTTTTTTTTTTTAAGGAAAGCTAAACTTTCATCTTTGATCCACAACAAAACAGAATTTCCTTAAAAAAAGAATACTTAAGAGCAGTAGAAATAAAGATTAGCCTCCGTTTCTGGTTAATATTCCACCCTTTAGCGACCTCTCTTCCATCTGTCACAGATACCTCTGGGGATTCTTTACCTAATCAGAAATTATAGAAACACTTTGCACATAGGTCAGAATTATAACCCTGAGTTTCTAGAAGGCAGTATTTTGTTGCATTCTTAGATATAATACCAAAAGACCCAATTTATTTCCTCATAACAGAAATACATAATATAATGCAAGAAATTAAAATGGCTTCTTATAGAGATCCTGCTTCCTTTATCACCAATTTTTTTCAGTGTTTTTTCCCTCTAAGCAACCACAAATATTTAATTCAACGCTCCATTTATACAACGTATGTACATGTGTGTAGACCTGCGTTTCAATATTGCCAATACATAACCAGGAGGCAGTATTTCCATGTTAAATTTTAGTAGAAAAATCAGTTTTCATTCCCAGCTTTGTAGCCCGAAACAGCTGCTCATCACTGCTTTGGGGCGTGGGCTCACTTCCACCGTTTACTTCAACTAAACGTGTAGCACAAGACGTAACCTGTTGGGAGAGGAGGAGGTTCCTTCTTCCAGCTCTACAACGCACACAAATGATGGAGGATGCAGGCAGCGTAGAGTAACAAACAACTAGGAATTTCAGTTGTGCACCAATTTCATTCCACTGCAAGCAAGCAGTGATGAGTCCACATTTTCACATTACTTGATGGGTAGGGAGAAAGGAATCGTTTTCCCGCAAGACAGTGAAAATTTTTCCTCTAATATAGGCTCGAATGTAATTTTCATTCAAAGACAGACGATAAAGCCTGTGTTTACCACATTATATGACACCAGCCCTTCAGTTTGGCTTATCAGTTTCTCAGTATATCGAGGCTTCCTGGGTACTTCCCATTGTTTTCTCCCTTCAAGTCCCAGGCTAGACCTGCCGTGAACTCGAAGGAACCAAATCAGCATCAACAGTTGAAGAAACAACCACTTTCAGGCAGAGTTCCTTTGAGTTACACCAGGTTGGAAGGACAAATGGCCCTATTAATCGTATGGTTCCAAATCCTTGGAAATGAGCGGCTCGGTATCTTCGGTCGTACTTTGTGCGGACGGTGGGGCTGTAGCTGCCAGGCTGTGTATCGCCTCTTGCTGATGCTGCTTTGCCTTGTTATACAGCAGAACTCCAATTGTCACCAGAACAGTCCCAATGGCCGAGAGGCTTGTGATTTTGTTACCAAACACAATAATACTTAGCCAGATTGACAGCGCATGCTTCACAGTACTAGCAACACTGGAAAAGAATATAAAAAATTAAGGCCATAGAAAGCTTTCTTATTCCCTTTCTCTTAGTAAAACAGAACCATGCTTTATTGTAGTGGGACCTCCCTGTTTTGCTTGCTTTTTAAACACCAACTCAGGTTCCACTTTTCCTCCTGAAGCTAGAAACAATACCAAATTGGTTGTATATATTGGCACCCGTAGCTTTACACTCCCCTTAGTTTTAGAGCTGGTATCAATAATTCACATCAGGCTTTTGGTTTTGTTGCTTCTAAGTGTGAAGTAGACTGTTAGTGCTTCATTTCTAGCCAACACAGGCCTCCAGGAAATGCTCAGACAGCACTGAGCAAGACAAAAAGAAAGTAAAATCACATTCTTGACATGAAAATACAGTTTTACCTGAAAGTCACAGGAGAAATCTTTCCCATCAGGGCATAGGCTGTAACGCTCTGTAAGTGGAACAAGACTCCATCTATTAAGAGAAGTACGACAACATCTTGGTTGTAGCTGAAGCTCCTCCCACTTTTCCCAATCACAGGCACATCCTAAACAAGAACAAAAAAGGACTTTAAGAGTTTAGTTTATAAGGAAATCAAAAAGTGATTTCCCACCCAATTCAGTATTATAGAATCATAGAATGGTTTGGGTTGGAAGGGACCTTAAAGACCATCCAGTCCCACCCCCTGCCATGGGCAGGGACACCTTCCACTAGACCAGGTTGCTCCAAGCCTCATCCAGCTTGGCCTTGGACACTTCCAGGGATGGGGCATCCACAGCTTCTCTAAGCAGATTATAGACAGATAGAGTTTTACATTTAAACTGCAGCAAAGCAAAACCTAAAACACACAGGATATTTAGATCCTGCAGATTCTCCCCCCAGAATATATTCGGAAAACAGCTCTCACCTGACTGAGCTTTCCAATGCATTCAGCCTGCCTGTGAGAAACTTTCTTGTTTCAACACAGATGCGTGGCAATGAAATGCCAGAATATGAAGGACACACATCTAACCTGACATGACACTTACTTCAGCACGCGTTTCCTTTCAGAGGGTTAATATTCCTGCATACCGTGTGAATATTGGCAAAAGTCAACACATACGTAAGACTTGGTTTTCAAGCCTGTACCTAAAACTTTAAATGCACTAGGACAAAATTATGATTTGATCTCAAAAATCCTGACATAAACTCAGGCTTTCCAGGCCACTTGTCAACTCACGTCTCTATTATGTTATTTCTTTGAAAGTTTTCTCTTTTTTACCTCCACCCCAGCTCTTGCAAACAAGAGACAAGATGCATTTCAGGGTGATTTTACAAATAAATGGAAAGAACAAAGAGTAGAGGTTAAGATTAACCTTAGCTGAACATTTTGCTGACAAATCAAAAAGAAAACATAAATCAGTGTCGGTGAATTCAAATTACCATGAAAAATATCCATGCTGGAATAAGCATAACCACTGCAGCAGCACTTGTGTAGAACTGAAGCTCTGGGGCTCTGCGAAGGAGAACACACTGATTACAACAATTAAAAGCTTCCTCTTTCTTAGACCTGAAGAAAGCTGCATCATTATTGTATTTACAGGTAACAAAAAGGAATAAAAGCCATCTACCAGGCTCTGGGGACAATCAACCCAGCAATCCCTTGGCAAAGAGGGTGTTTTGCTTTTTGTGCTGGCTGACATGGGCTGAAGATAAAAGGCACATGCTTTCAAGAATAAAACTAGCATCAGTTCTTGCAGTAAAACATACACACGTAGCAATAGGTATGTTTTACCACAAGACTCTATTGTTCGTGTTTCATAGTTACCACGTAGAGTGAGTTCTGAAGTTGGCTTCTGCGTGTTAAGGACTAAGGACTTATTTCTATGGAAAGGTGACTCATTTTGGGTATGCTGAGGGTTTTAACCGATTATGAGATTCTGACCTACCACAGCGGGATCTGAGCATAGAGGAATTTTCTTTCCCTGATAAAATGATTTGGGTTAAAGCTCTCTGTAAACAGTGAGAAAAACCCAAAATCTTGGTGCAATATAATCATAAACACGTGCTTTCCTGATGCAGCCCAAGGCCCATCTATAATCAACCACGAAATACTTTTAATACTTACGAAAACCTGTATTTATCTCCACTGAGTAGTTTTTTGGAAAAGACATTTTGCAAACTGGAAAACAAACAATCAAAAAACCCCAATCACCATTTATCTGTATTTTCGTTATGACAAATCAATCAATCCATGAAAAAGACAGCTGTTTCCCTTTAGGTGGGTAGATATCTTTCCTACACATTTCACATTCCATGCATTATGCAACTACAGACAGGAGTTTGGTCCAACTCCTTTAGACTGTCGGAGCTGTACTGTGCTTTAATCCCAGGAATGCTAGCAGCTGAGATAAAGAAACTATCTTCTGTTAAAAATCAATTGTAAATGCTAACATTTAAATGTAGTTACAAAAACAGCTACAGGCAACATATCTCTTCAATCTGCCAACAACCAATATTCCTTGATTCCACATGTGCAACTGTCATCATGCCTTACCAGTCCATGATATTAGTAGATAAAGCTGCCGAAAACCCAAGGATGTTGAAGCTGATTTCAGTGGCTGTACACAGAGCCAGCCCGCCCATAACAGGAATGAGGGAGAGATTAACCAGCAAGCCTGCAAATGAACAGAAAAATTGGAATCTGAGTTTAGTTACTGTACTTCCAATTGCGTGTAGCAGATAATACAGGTTTGGGGAGTTTAAATTCCACTTGAACTTCTTTAGTTGAAAGAAGAGCAACTTATTTGACTGGATTTTAAAGTACAGAGGTTCTAAAGCGGGTTCTCAGGCAATAGCACAGTGCTCTTGAAAACAGCATGGACACAGGCTCACTGATAAAAGCATCTCCCTCGGAGAAAGAAAACAGACTGATGACTGCTTAATTTCATCTTTTTCACCAAATAATATAAAAAAATTATGCTCTCCGTTTACTCTGACCAAATTACTCTTCCTCTGGCGTATTCCAGCCTTTTGGCACTTGGGCTTTGCATCACAATCTATTCATGACTGCTCTATGACTCCTATGACTTACAGCTGGTAACAAGCAGAATGTCTTCAAGGAAACAGGGTGCAGGTGGAAATGCAAAGAAATTACACTGTGGTAAGCCAGATTCTTTTTTGGTTGCTTAGTTTTTTTTTTTAATCACAGAGTGAACACAGTGAAGAAGTTCAAGAATTTTAAGTTTGGAGCAGCAAGATGTCCCTGTAAGAAGGGACATGCTGAGCTTCAGTTATTTAAGGCTGCAATAATACTGTCTTTGACAGACAAATTACATCAGAGCAACACTGCCCTTATACAACTGCATTAAAATCCTTCTTTAACTCTATATATACTCTACTTACTGTGTTCAAACAGAATGATTCTTTCAGCACCGTTTACTATATTTGGGTGGAATCTAAGTGACAGTATTATACCAAAAAATCCCCAACCCCTGCAAAAACTATCACATCTCAACAGTGAAGTACTCACCCGTGTATTCCCCTAATATCATCCGAGACATGATAACAGTAAAAATAGGTGCAGAGCTCTTAACAGTTTCTGCAAATGAAACTGCCACGTTTTTCAAGCTGACAAGACCCAAGACTACTGTTGCAAACCTGCAATAGAACACAAGAAATTAAGAGCTACTTCGACACCTAGCATAAAGAAGAACCGCATTATGATTTCTCGAGGTTTCAAAGTTCGAGCTGCGGTAACTGAGAATACGCTGAGGTGCAGAAGGCAAACAAACCATCAAACCACGGCAGCTTGGCTGCGCCCGGTAACCCATCACCTCCACGCCTTCACTCCTCAGCCCCTGCGAGGGGCAGCGTGTCAGGTCTCTTTCTTTCCGCTTTGGCTTCCACATTGTTATTTGCTTAGCACAAATAAAGGCACCCTTGGGCAACTCTGCAACTTCCATGAACGTACGGGAGACCTCACTTTGCACTTTATCGAGCTTTGGGTGACAGTGTTTCAAGGGGAAGTTCTCAACAGACTCAGCTGCAAATTCCATAAATAGTAAAATTCCACTGATGAAATTTCCTTGTTGAATTATTAGCATTTGCAGTTATCCATCTTTGGTGTAAGTTAGGTACATTACATGTTTACTATACCTTAAACCACAAAATTAAACAACAGGGCGACACAGTTGTTCTGATAAAGTTACTCTGGATTCATTTCAATCCTGTATCCTTGATCACTTTTGTAGTGTCGAGGAAATGAAATCATATATTCTTATTCTCTCCTAGATCACAAACTGTGCACACAGCATTTACTTTTTGAAAGATGAATGTTAATAACCTGTGTCACTTTTGAGGAAAAACACTGGAAAAGGTGAGGGAACAAAGTGACATCATCATACATATCAGTACGCTGAACAAGCATCAGCCTCAAATGAGAAGAGGAAGAAAGTAAATGGGAAGAGCAGTGTGTTCTGAAAGCAGCTAAATGTGATGGGAAGCCAAGCTAGCCAAAAAAAAGGACATCTGGAAAAAGGATCAGGGCATATAGCAATAGGAACTAAAAATAAAATTATCCTGCGATTTTTGGCAGGGGGGAGGGAAAGATGAATACTCCAAACGCTTTCCAAACAACAATGGAAAGGAAGGAAGCCATGAAAACACAGCTTCCACTCAGAACGCAATGCAATCACATAGATCTCTAGGAAATAATTAACCATTTACCTCATTAATCCAACAAACAGCATTATCATGATGAAATTGGGTGGATAAGAGATGCGCGTTTTGTGTTGATACAAGCAGCATGGGACAAACATTTTTATACAGCCAATGAAGGTGGTTGAAAGCATTTGAACAGCACCTAAAGAAAAGTGAGAAGGGAAAAAATAAATCAGAAGGTGATGGGAACGTGCCGAATCAAGCAACGTCAGAAAATCCCTTCGACAAACTTACGGGTCGTACTTTTAGCAGTTAGTAAGCATGGCAACTACTGTCTGGATTTTATGACTTCTCACAAAATCCCTTTATTTATACATCTACCAGCAAGGCAGCAGAATAAAACAAAGGTGATGTACACCTATAAGATCTGATTCACATTTAAAATGCCCTTTGTTTCCGCCTTAAAAAAAGGAATAAGCAGCCCATTGGGTAATGGAGATTGCACAAAGGCAATGTTTGCACCTCGAGAGACAAAAAAAATCTTACCAGTTCTGGACACTATCAACATCTGACATTTTTTTTAAAAACCCACACTACCCTCCAACACAGAATTAAAAAATAAAAAAGACATTTTTCCTCCCAGCTCTTAGTTCTCAAACACCATCTTACAGCTCCTCTACAAGCAAAGCTTCAGACCATCTTTCAGCAGGTGGAGAAAAGGACGGTGTCAGCAGCCCCTTTACAGCCCGAGATCACAACATGTGAGCTCCCAGCCCCAAAATCCACCCCCACATCTCCTAACTAGGACTTTTTCACTTCACTTTGTCCTTCCACTTTATATAGGAGGATCCAGTATTGCCAAACACCTTACTGGAACTGACGTGTAAAAGAAAGGTAGGGTTACCTAGCATGCTGGGTTCTCCTTCCAGTAACGAAAGAATGTATTTGTTAAGAAAAAGAGTGCAAAAGCTGAAGAAAAACCACAAAGTGAGGTAGATGAGAGCATGAGAATTCCAGATGCCCAAGTCCGACTCAATAACCGTGGTCTCAGTGATAGTTATTTTCAGAACGTTCTCCTCTGGTACGCTATCACTCCTAGCAATTACAAATTTTTCACTCCTGTTAGCGAAGAGCGAACCCAAATGAAATAGTGATTTTCCCTTTGGCTTTTCTTCAGGGGGAGGAGGATTAGGTTCCTCTGGTGTGGGAGCACTTGTCACAGTCGACATGCTGACATCAAGGAATTAATATTTGTCCTTAATACAAACCAACATTGACTTAGCACAGAACAGCACTGAGGAAACAAAACTATCACGTGGTTAGTCTTTCATCTTCCATGGCCTGAGAAAGTGTACTTGGTCCTCCAAATAACATCTTGCATAACAGTAAACTTCACATGCTTCTTTACGTGGTCTATTCCATTTTGTCTGCCTACGAATGAAAAGAAAAAAAGAGAAAGGAGGAGAAAAACCATGTAGCTCTGAACATAACGACGCTGTAAATCCCTAATGCAACACAGATACCGCGTTTCACCTGAAGTTTACGTAAGACGGACTTCTGTACCTTGTCTTTCAGACTGGATTTTGCACTCCTAATATCATGACACCAAGATTAAGCACTAAAAACTTAGATAAGGAAGAGTTCTTTATTCTGAAACAGCACACCAAACACTTCCTGTGGTTTTGAGTTCTTTCTCCTCTAAAGCACACCAGCGCAGCCTTTCCCATTGTAATTAGCTCCACTTCAAGATTCTACTGTTTCTTTGATCTTAGTGCAAGGTCTTCTTATAACCACTCAACAGAAACATCTTCACAACCCAGAAGATCTGGGCAGCAGCCTGTACCCTTAGTACTAATTAACCCGCTATCATATCTCAAGTCAAAGTAAGCAATCAATAATCAAGGACTGTGACTTTCAGTAATCACAAACACAGTTAATCACAGGTAACTGAGATCTAGGGGAGCAAAGTAGGAAAACATGTCCAAGAACTTTCCAAACAGACTTCTGCTCTATTGATTTACTCGTAAACAATGAAACGTTACTTATTTTGCCACTGCAGTAGTGTTAAAGCTTGCAATTCGATAAAAGTACTTGCAGTATTTCTTAAAGCCTTTTTGAAAGGACTGACAGAAAAAGGCATGAAATCGTTTGCAACTGGAGCTTTCTCCTTTTACAAATTAAATGAAATGGGACAAGTTACAGTAGAGGAGTACAGAGAATAACAAAGCCACACTGTGACCTTTATTCTTCTCCAGTCATGCAGTTAGTTAGCATCGTAATGCTGACAGATTCAAAGTCTGTATTAAGAAAGAAGTTGCACCTGAGCAGCTTATCTGCAACATTAAAACACACTATCAGATTTATTGCTTTCTACTTTGCAGTCTGTGTTTTATAAGCAAAAGAAGAAAAAAATAGAATTAATCACATGAGAATGAAATCACAGAATTGTTCTGGTTGGAAAAAGACCTTTAAGATCATCAAGTCCAACTGTAAATGACAGACAGGACCTTTTTTGCCCCTCAATGAACAAACACTAGGGAGAATTACATCTTAAAAATACTTTTCTCTGGAAGCACATTGGCTGGACAGACAAGATGTTGGCCCTTATACAGTTAAAAAGGAATTCTCATGGGGAAGGTTAATCACTGGACATCTTGGAAAAGCCATCTGGAATGAGATCATAGCACTACAGCACAAGCAATGGCAGCACAAGAAGTAACGGCAACCCGAAATCCAAGGGTTGCAGTAAGGGCTACGGCACCTGCCCTGACTTTGTTCACATGTGACCAGGTGAACAGGAAACACTATTTTCTTTGTGCTTTTTTCAATGTCCAACGTGGCAGCTCAAAATTAATCACAAAGAGGCGATAAAGAGTTAAATACATTGTGTCGGTTTCGATATCCTAAACAGCAGCTACTTTACACTGAAAATTTCCATTCCTCAGGTTCTCTGTTTCTGTGACCACAGCCACGCGCAGACCGTTTCATACCTATCCCCGGATCTCCTTCCATTTTCCCACGAAACCATGCTGGCAGCACACCAGGATACGAGACCCTCTGACACACTCGCGTTAAACCGCACACTTGTGTTAACCCACTTTAAGACAAAACTAGCCAATTTGAAGGAAGGTATACTTTGCTTAGAGAATTTGTTAAGAAAAAAACAATTCTTGACTCCTCCTTTTTCAGATCTTAAAAAGAAAAAATACCCACCTACTTTCAAAATGGTTAGTTATCCCAACTTTGCTAATACTTTTTCCTGTTTATATTCCTCAATTAAAACCAAAAGTAATTAGGCACAACAAAACTCCCACCCTCAGCTGCACTCTGATATCGAATTTGGTATCACTGACCCCACACATGGCAGGAAGGAGAGCAGCACGTAAGAACGAAAGGACTCCCCTGAATTACTGACCTGCTGCCTGAAATCAGCTGGAAAGTCTTAAACGGGCTGAAAGAGTTCTCCCCCTGGAACTAATTCCGTCTTCCTCCCGTAAGACGGACCAGCAGCTGATGTTTACCAACAGATGAAAACGTGGCAGTGGTTGGTAGACTGTTTCTCTTGGATCACACACACACATCCAATCTTCCAGCTCACAAGAACAAACAGCACGCAAGTGCATTTTGCGCTCCTTGTATCTTCTCCAACTTTTAACTACGTTAGCAACAGCAGTGTTGTATATTAAAGGTGGAAAAAATAAGGAGGGTAAGCTGTGAGAGCCTCAAACAAATTCTCACGTACAAGAAGTTGCCAATTGCCAATTCAACAACTCCCCAACTTCTCAAGCTGTAAAACATATTCATAAGACGCATTCAAACTCCTTTTCCCTTTCCGCTCAGAGCAGTTCAAAATTTAATCAGAAACACATTCATTTCAAACTTAGAGGTAGAAAAAAACCTTTTTTCTCAGAATACATTTAGAGTTAAGAAAATAAATGAAGACATTTTTTTAAGCATCTAGCTTTAGATGCTTAAATAAACGGCATCCCCTCTGCTCACTCACTACACTGAGTGTTTCTGCAGACATGCGATACACCAAAATAAGGAAACTGCTCCCCTTGAAATTTAAGGCTGCAGGGAAAGGCGGCTCTTAGTCCACACTATCTACACTTAATTCACAGCAGTACAGTTTAAGCTCATCACTGTAAAAGCAATGTGTCTACAGGGATTGTTTCCTACAGGTCTCAGAAGAAAAGGAACACAAAGTTTTGGAAAAATAAAATGCAATGCAGAAGCAACATAAGTTAACAAGAAGCAACACACTGCAGTTTTGGCCCTACTTCTTCCGTATGAAATGTTTTCCAAAGAAACTGTAACAATCCATGCTGAAGTCAAGTGACATTTTAAAAGAGGGGAAAAAAAAAAAAGAAATTGACCTCATGTAAAGTTTCACAGCAGCACAACTTTCTGACACAATTTAAAAGCAAGCAAAATCACTTTTCCTTCTCTGGCGAAGGGGAGGTCTGCGTCACACACGCCTTCCTCCAAAACTGCAGAGATCTGAGGGGTGAAGCAGCTGGTGAAAATTCAGTTGCAAGCGCTCAGCAACATTGTAAGAGGTCCCTGACACATTCCCTGTACCTGGCCTTCGATGAGGTTTTCTGCAAGAGCTACAGCAGCTGGGCTGTCACCCACAACCTAGTCATCTTCTTTAAAAGTAAGCGTAAAGTGAGAAAATTGAGAGTTCTTTCTAAGAAACTGTCAAAATAAAAAAAAACAACAATATAGCCAGAGCTCAGTATAACCAGACATTCCTTAGAACTGAATAAAATTATTTAAAGGTAACAAGAGGCAAAGGAATCATGTGAAAGGGGAAATATCGTGTCCTTTAAACATGACATATGCTATACCAAGATGCAATTTACTGTGAAAATAAAGCGTAGCATTTCCAGCACTACAGATTCCGTGGTTTTTAATTATCTCTTGCAACCCTGTTTATGCACAGAGTCCTTCATGATTCTTCCCTGGAGCCTACTAAATATTTTCTATGATTGAAGCACGGTCATAGGCAAGCATCTATCAGGTACTCCAAAAGATTTAATCCAAAATTCTTTTGTGATGCAGCTCACCTCAAGACTGGTACCTTTTGGCAAGAAGCTCGAATTACTTCTTAAATAGCCAAGCACATTCTGACAATCCCCACTACATGTACCTTGCCTTCAGTTTCTTAGTGCATTCATTTGTCTAAAACTGGAAGTGCTCCGAGCTTTGGGATGTTCTCCATCGAACAGCCAGGTCAAAAAGCCATTGCGACAGTTTTTCTGACCACTTGTTAGCACCTATATATATAAAGATAGATTCTTTCTTTTGACAATACCCACAAAGAATTCTATAGAGTCAGCTTACACCTCGCACAGGAAAACCCGTAACAGCTCAAAAATGTTGCCAAGTGTTAAAGAAACTAAGGTTAATCTGACAGTGAAAAAACAGAGGTTTGGTGGGCGTCTCTCTTCATGTTATGCAACACAGTCAGCAAAACATCGTTCCCAACCCAACACACACACAGAATTCAGTCTCCCAAGTAAGCTGTAAACATTAACGCTGTTTCACCGAACGGCAACGTGAGCATCCAAGGTGTTTATAAACACAGACCGCAAGTACTGTCACAAAGACCGAAATAGCTGAATGCTTCTCTGGCACTTCAGCTGTATCTCTAGTCACCCAGTCCTAAAAACCTTCCCTCATTCAGAACCAGCTACCACGCAGGCAAATCCAGCACGTGTTCCCACATGCCCCGCAGCCTCTGGCGCCGAGGGAGCATCCCAAACGCGGCAGCAGTGGCAGGAGCGCTGCGCAGCGGGGCTGCCCTCCCCACCGAGACCCACAGACCCTCCGCCAAAAAAATGCCCCCCCCGACCCACAGCCCCCCCGCCGTACCACGTCCTCTCCGGCACAAGGGCTTTCCCGAGAGCAGCAGCGTTGCAGCGAGGCACGGCGGGGACGTCTCCCTCCTCGGGGCATGCCGCAGCTCAGCCGGCACCTCCGCGCCTTCGGACGGCGGGCAGAGATCTTCCTCCCGCTCCCCCGGACA